CTACCCATAATCCCCTACCGCTTTCTCTGATTCAAGGCTAACATCGTTGTCCCTCAAAGACACACCAGAAGATGGGCCGAAGCTTACCTCCCCTACCTAATCATGTTCTCGACCGGCTACTGGACTCAGTTGTCTCTATACTGGATTCTCGGCACCTTTTCCACAGACGTCGGATCCTCCTCCCGCTCGGGCGGTCTGTTCCGCGCTTTTGAGACCGCTGGCCAGGCCGTCTCGTACGCTCTCAACTCCAAGACGAGCGCCGACCCAAGGATTCCGTTCTACGTGAACGCTGCGCTGATGGCTATTACGATTCCGTGCATGGTGTTCCTCATCCGGCTGGTTCCTGATGCGCCTGCTGCCACGGATATAGATGCGGGAGACATCGTTGAGGTCCAGGGAGAAAGGGACCCTGATAACAAGTAGATTGTGTTAGGGCTTCGACTTTGTTGGATTGAGAGCGCTGAAAAAGTTAGTTCAACATATTGAAGTACAATAGGAATGACGAAATGAAGCGTTGACTGAACCTCTCTCGTGTATCAATGCCTCGATGATTGATTGTAGCGCTTTTTGTTCTTGCAACAAGGTTCAAGATTTCCATAGTTGATGTATCATATTTGAACAGGAATTTCGTCAATTGAGATGATATATGATACATGACATCAATTGCGGCTTGCAATTGGAAGTGTATCTATTGCAATATCACTTCAACCGGCTTGCTTCAATCTGTCTAACAGGCTACTTGTTTATGTTGTGCTTTGAGAGCCCCCAGCATCAGTCGGTTTTCACTATGAGCTTATCAAGCCTTATTGCTTACATGAACAGAGCGTCGGGCTTGACCTTGGACTTCCGAGTTTGCTTTCCTTATCTAGATATCTCGACGTGTCAGGTTCCAAGTACATAGATTCATGATCAAACTATATTGAAAGTATATGCGCCAAGTTGATAAATCATAGACGTCCTGAGACAAAATGAAAGAATATCGAAAACAGCAATGAGATTATGTGTTTTTAATTTCTTTTTTTTAGTGAACCTGAGTTTAACATGTGTGCCAGATTCCAAAAGATGACACAAGTTACGAAGATTTATTTATTCGTATCTCTTGATTTTCTAATCGTCGAACACAGTCTAGCCATGGCCTCCATGCACACATATTCAATGCCACAATTCGAAATGTTTCTCAGCTACTATATCCAGAGATGAGACACTCGGTATAAAAATGAGAAGAGAAAATCAAGTGGGCCATAAGTCTAACAAGGTCAATGAGTACGTGGGTCTCTTCAATCCCAGTCGAGAACAAACTCAACTCACACTTCTTATAATCTGGACAACCTTGTGTAACTGACAAAAGTGACTTGCATCAGAGGCTTCAAGTAAGAGCTGCAATCAAAGCCTAGAAACAAGTGTCTGTGAATGATTGAAGCCACCGTCGACTTATTGTAACTAAAGGATCCGGAATTCTCTGAAAACGGCATGGATCCCCTTGGACCATTGAACGTTGACAGGGTTGTCATCTCTTAGCTTCAAACTCAAAATCATCTGAACAGCGAAAAAGTGCAATTTTTACCCCACCGAAACATCTCAAGATAGTTTGGCTTGGGGCGGGTAAACGGGCGCTCCCGCTTGCAACGGTGACGTTTAGGACGGAGATAGAATACCTAGGCAAAAATGTGTTTGTTTTCGTCCCTTGTCTGCTTATTCTTGCATTATTCAGCATTGGGCTCTGAGGAACCCAGCCCGACGACATGTCAAAGAAACGGACGTTACTTTTTTTTCCTAGTTTCTCAGTGACATTCTGAGACCCTCGTTGTTGCTATTAGGTACGTGACCACCAATACGGTAGTAAGAGTGCATCACGGATTTCTTACGCTCCGGTTTGAATTGCCCTGCATCATCAACTCTGAGATAAAGAGCGCCCCTGATAGACAGTTACACAGATCACCCCCAAAGGTGTTGACAAATCCCATGAATACCTAGCACTCTTTTCTTTTCCAACCTCTTGGTCATTGCCCCAAGTCTCATGGCAATGCGATGGGAATAAAGAGGCCAAAAAAAGATATGCGCAGCAGCCCAGCGCCAGAACCGAAAATCGCAACACCTTTCCCTGCCACACATATGCAAACGAAGAGAGACATTGCCTGGTCCCCCGTGAACAAAAGTGCATCATACACCTTCGGTCGTCACCGAAAAATGGAACTACCGCTTACCTTCAGGTGAAATGTGGCACGTGGATTGGTAGGGTACCTTGGCATATTGGGCATAGAATCCCTAATCCCTAAATCCCCTCCCCAATTCCCTGCAGCGAATCCTTACCCCACCGGGCCTCGCCCTCCTTCACCGAGACCACGGCCAATAGGGACGGCCCGGTCGCATCACCACCCATCCATTCATCCTTTCGTCGTATCTGCCAAAGTTCTCCCTCTTCTTGAGCCTTCCTACTTAATGCCTGCATACACGCGATTAGGGATTTCTACCATCTACCCTCCCCCCAGGGACGAGAGACATTGCGGCACCTCCGTCCCGTCCGGGGGGGGTCTAATCTAGGCACCCTCCTCAGAAGATTGGATATTCGAATCAACCATCAATCGCTCTCGGTGAAACACCTGCGTGATATTGGGGGTCCGCCAAGGTCAGTCCCTCATGTCATTGATGATGCTTGGTCGGGTGGGGATTTCGGAGAATGATTCTAGAGCACCACGTGAAATGTGCACCAGGGGAGGGGGACGGGACGGGGGGGGGTCGTATTCTTTCTCATTCTGATTCTACTTGTCCCCCCCTGTATCCGTATGGTTCAGTTGCATCCGTCACCCGTGTCCAAAGTGCGAGGCGCCCGCGGCAGTTGGGGAGTTACGTTCCGTGCGTTGGGAGGTCACCGTGAGGGAACCATGGACGAGGAGGGGGGCGGGTGGGCGCGGGACGGGAGTCTGGAACTTAAACCGGTGCCTGTTTTAATTTCCTGACGGATACCTTACAATGCAACGCTTCTCATTCTTTCCACTCCGAATGTCTAGGCAGGCAAGGCACGGCAAGGCAGATGTTTCCAAGATGATCACACATGGAAAAACTGATCGATAGACCTTGCCCCAAATTCCCCGAATCGAGGTCCTTCCCAAATAGTAAATTTACCATGTATGTGGGGGGTTTCTCTCACACTCACACACATACGCGCACTCTCTCTTCAGTCCCCTTGCCTTTCTGTCTTCGAACTTTTCTTACGCACATACAGGCCCTTCAAGCGTTCCATTGCATATAGGCACAGAATCAACTCATTCTGCCACTCCACCCCTTCATCTCACGCCTCGCACCCAACACACACATATCCACGCCCAGCTTTCCATCCCCCACTCCCCCCTCCCCTTACACACACCACGCACATCGCTTCTTTCTCGACGAAAAAAAAAAATTGAGATGGATGGCATAGTGCATCAGGGCAACCAGCAGCCGCGCTCCCGCCGACACACCAAACCCGGGTGCCAGAACCAACCCCAAGTGACAAGGGGGAAGGGGGCCTGTTTTTCCTTTCTGCTTCAGCCACGCGGGCACCCAGCTCCACGCTGCTAGGAGCTTTTCTTGGTAGGTATGCCATCATAGATACATGTAGCTACCAACCCGGCTGTTTGACCCGGCGTATAGGTGTGTGTAGGTATTGCAGACCGCCTTTTCTGGCCATTTACTGCCATCGGAATTATTGACATCCGTGTCTGTCAGCTGTGCCATCCGTCTACACTACCAAAGTCTGAGCCTCATCAGAACAGCTGAATAAGATCAAAGACGTCTCTGGTGGGGAGAGCGTACTGCAAGTACTCACTCGGTAATTATCAACAAAGCCACTCAAGGATCAAAAGCACCGCTCCCCAAAGATTGGATTTTTAATTTGTGCCATGGGCCTGGCCTATGGAGCTTTCCAGCAGGCTTCTCTCTCGCCTCCAGCTACCGGACCAACATTACGCTTGGGCGAGACACACATGCTGCACACCTGCATGGAAGCCCAGCAGCTATTAGACGCAGCATCTACACTAGACCGAATTTGTTCACTTTTCTGTCCACCACGCATGAAAGAAAGTAGGCAGTCATAGTAGTGGAAAATAAAAATTGGTATCAATAATCCTAACTTCTCATACGTGCGTTCAAGGCATCCACCACAAGCAAGGGGTGCATGATACTCGGGATCCTTCCTATCGGCCCAGTCCAATGTCAACCCAAAAACCATATTTCAAAAAATGAAAATAAAAAAAGTTGACACAAAAAATGTGTGTTGGACGCTTGTTCCCAACTCCGTCGTGTTGCCACGCTTTTTGCCCATCATATCCCCAATGCAAATCCCAGGGGTATCTGAAGAGTCTAGTAACTCTGATGGGAGGCCAAGTTTTTCCCTCTCTTTTTTTCCTCCCACGCTCCGCCTTGATCCGAATGCACACGCCCCAATCCCGTTGGGTGGTCTAAAAACTCCCATGATGCATCATCAACGTCCCCTTTCCGTGTGCCGTTACCCCCCTCTTTGTATATCCACTGACAGGCCAAAATGCCTGATGAAAAGTCACCGCCTGTGTGTAAACAATATACTTCTCCCTTCTCCAGAGTTTCCAGTCCAGACGGGGATAAGAATGAAGAAAAGAAACCGCTCAACAGCTCAAGCAACCGAGACTCTCGTACACTCTCCATCGTAAGAAATACAGCCTTGACCGAGATGTAGATGATCCAAGGGAAAATTTAAGTCGATCTGTACCACTTGACTGGAAGCTAAGTGGACGACAACTGCAAAGACATGACATGAAAGTAAGAAAAATGTTCAGACAGCCGCCTCGACCCAATAATTACCGCGAAAGAAATTACGCATTGGTTTGACGTGCGATTTTGTTTTCCGTTGGACTGCTTCGTCTCATGTCTTGTTGAGCACGTCCATGTATTGCTTTTCTTTACTCCGTTCCGCTCTTGTGGTATATACTCGATGTAGTTCGTATTCGTGTGTTCGTGTGAGGGAAAATTGTGTTGCGATTCGTCCCTTAGTAGATGGCATGACTGGACTGGTGGTACATGCGGTCTCGGTAGGTAGCAGGGATGCCGTCGTATCTAGGGCTGCTTGCGCTCGAGGACTGGTCCATGTCCGTGTCGTAAACCTCGTAGCCGTGCTGGTGATGTTGCATGTACTGCTCCGGGGGAGGCAATCTCTTCGAGCTGTATGCTGCGAGGCTAGCGGGATTGGGAACGCGCTTGACGGGATAGGATGAGGGAGCAGTCCTGGACTTTGAGACACGGTTGCTGACCCTGCGATCCTTGCCACGGCCCTTGATACCCTTGTTGCTGTTCTTGTAGAGGTTGGCGAAGTACCAGTACATCTCTCGTTGGTCATCGGACAAGCCGTCGATATCGGAAATGGAGACGATCCAGTCGGTCATTTCCATGAGGGTCTTCTCATGGTACTTGTTTTGGTGGTTCTGAATGCCAAATTAGCTGGATCACCATGGAATATGCCACTTTGGCTCTACACACCTTGAGATTGCCTCTTTGGGTGAACATCTTGTTGCATGAATCGAGCTTGCAGACGAATGGCTTTGCATTGGTGTGCGTGGCCATGTGTGTCTGGAGGTTGCCACGCTGAGCAAAGACTTTGCTGCATTGTTCACAGCGGAAAGGCTTTTCGCCAGTGTGGCGGCGCATATGAGTCTGTAGGACGGTTAGCAAAGCCTTGCTATGTTTGCTCGAAACCGGATCAACTAACCTTGAGGTTACCAGGCTGGGAGAAAGTTCGGTCACAGTGCGGCCATTGGCAATGCTACGAGTCATCAGCGTCGCTCTAATCACACTCGATAGGCTACATGTACTTACGTATGGCTTTTCACCAGTGTGAGCGCGCTTGTGAGTGTCCAAGTGGGTGCTTTGGTAGAAGCTCTTGCCGCAACCATCAATGTCACAAACATATCGCTTGGTCTTGGGAGCATCCGACGAGTCCGTTGTTGTAGAGGGCGTAGGAGCCGAAACAGCCGGGGTCGGCTCAGGCTGAAAGATATCAGCTCAGTCTCGATTGGTAGCGGACGCAGAATCGGGACTTACCTTGGGAGATCTGGGCTCCGGCTTGACAACCTTTTCGGTTTCTGGGACGCCCTTGACGATATCATCCGTGTCGTGCCTCTTCTGAATCGCCTTCATGAGAGTGTCGATGGCAGTTGTGAAGTTCACCGCATCCGCGCTCGTGGGCTTGTTGAACTTGATTTCCTTGGTGTTGAGGGGATGGGGTGTCTTTGGGTTGCTCATCTTTGTCTCGCTTCGGGTTGATGGGCTGCGGTGTCGGTCGGTTTGTCCCAGAGGTGACTCCTGAGGATAGGAGCTGGCGCGCGGGACTTCATGCTCCGGAGCTGCCACGGGCATGATCGGTCGTTCTTGTTGAGCTGGTACTCTGAAGGGCATGTTCATGTTGTTCGGAGGTGATTCATATTGGGCATACGCGAAGTGGTTCTGAGTCGGGCAATGGTGACCCATTGCGGGCATAGATGCAACGCCGTAGTGTGATCCAACCATGTACTGAGGAGCCATGATAGCACCGTTCATGGGAGCAGAGGTAGCCGCTCTCGAGTCGTACTGCACAAAGGCTGTGTTATCCATCATTGCGTAGTCGTGGCCGGCGGGCTGTTGCTGCCAGCGACCCCAAGCCTGGGGCGGGGCTGTCTGTTCCGTGAGAGCCATTTATGCGAAGCCAAAACGAAGAGATGACGGATGGGCGGCGTCAAGTGTAGTTGGATGTAGGTAGGACGAGGTCCAAGTTGACTAACTCTTGCCTGTGTCTGGAGTATGTAGACAAAGTACGGTGAAAGAGATGGATCAGTGGTTGATGCCAAAAAGAAAAGGCAAAGGTAAAGCGTTGACTGCTTGAGGAAGTTGAATGTTTATGATCTCTCGTGGGTTGAAGTTGAGAAAGAAAGGAGGATGGAGGCGGGTAGATGTAGTTTCGGGACAGAGTCAAGAATGTACTCGTGGTATAAAGTGCGGGAGGGGATAGCGGATGTGCGGCCGGGGTGCGATCCTTGAAGCCAATCGACTGGACCTGGTTCCCGAAGATCTCAGCACTAAATATACATGCATCCAAAGCGAAACCAGCAAGGACTCAGACAGTGGGTTGGTGAGAGGAAAAAAGAAGGGTTGAAGGCCAGGACCAGAACGAACATGGAGAGTTTGTGGAAATCATGGACCCCCACCACGAGGAGCAAGACGGAGGACTTCCATAAAAGCCGGGGTAGCGACTGAGCGGGCCACGACCCGGTCGACGCGGACGGAGACGAGACCTTGCTCTTGCTGTACAGGGTGGCCAAGTAGGTACAGGAGGGGAGGGGGGGAGGGGGAGGGGCGCGTGGAAAGCCGACCTCTGGGGGGTGTGGGAATGGGAATGGGAAGAGGCGTCATACCCATACCCTGCAACTGACTGAGCTCAGAGGTCGGTATAGGATGCACTCATGTCTCTCTCTCTCTCTCTCTCTCTCTCTCTCTCTGTGTGTGTGTGTCTACTAGTCTCCCCTCATAGATGGCGGAGGCGTCCGTGACGAGCAGCATTGGGGTTCTCCCAGAGGCAAAAAGGCATGGCTAACGGCTGGTCGATCAAGCAACAGAATGAACCTCGGAACAGACTAGACAAGGAGAAGGTATAGAGACGCCGCGTGACTGCGTGGAAATCGAGAGGAGAAGCCTCGGTTACTCGAATAGAAAGAAATAAGACATTCTGGTAAAGACGAGTTCTTCATAGGGGGCAACTCACAGGTCGTCAGTTGGATTGGTTAGCAGGATAGCTCATCTCATCACGGTCTGCGGTTAAGGATAGGCAGGCGAATGGTGAGAGAGTGAAACAAGCATAATGTGGGAATCTCAAATAAAGACTGTCCCTTGTCCTCGGGCAGGTCGCTGTGGCCTCGATTTGTTGTTGCTTATTCTTGAAGTCGATGCGCAGCATGGCGACATGCGGCTTGGGTGTAGGTCAGATCTGCCCAAATGGGCGCCATTTTTTCTTTTCTTTGCAGGCTAGGATCGCCGGGAGGTCGATATTGCAGCCGGACGGCAAGGCGAAGCAGGGGATGGTGGTGGAGGAACTTTTCGAAAAGCGTCGAGACAATGTGAGAAGAGACAGAGATATTGATGGAATCAGGTATCCGTACGGACTATTCCGTGCGCACCAGATCTCATGAAAGTGATCACAATGGTTAGAAGATGGAGGTAACCAACGTGGGAGCTGGTCATCGGTACCATGCCAGGGCCACTCTTCAAGAAACGTCAAGGTTTGACAGTTTGCAGAGTGAGGCGAGTGGAAAGCTGTAAGTCTTCGTGCGTAAACAAGGTATCGAAGTGGTAGGGTGATATTGAGCTGAGGTCGATCTTGAAGACGATGACGACGAGGGTGTTCCGAGTGAGTCTTTGAGAGAAGGGACTTCAGGCGCAGATACGAAGGTCAAGATCAAAGATTGAGTGTTGATAGTAGCCCAAACCACCGGGCCGGTTCGAATACGTACATAGAGAAGATGAAGCAGAGTGGCCAAGCTGAGATACGGATACAGGAGTGAGAGTGAGAAACGGAGGCTTGCGGCTGCCATGAGAGACATTCAAGACATTCAAGACGAAGTGAGACTAGAGACTCTCGAGAAAGGGCCGTACTATGAAGCAGGGATGTCCTAGCCACTGGATTCTTAATTTTTCGTGCAGGCGGGCGGGACTAAACGGCAGGGAGAAGGAGGAGAGCAGGGGTATGCCATTGGTGTCCGTACCATGGGATGGAGGATGATGGGTTCTGGACAGAAAGAGGGGGGCGTGAAATAGATGTGCTGGTTCACACGGGGTGGTGAATTGAAAGTGAGGTAAAAGAGTTGAATTGAAGTTGGATACCACACCCTGCGCTACGCTGCGCTGCGGGCTGCGGCCTGCGACATGCCCTGCAATACCTAGGTTGACTGCAGCCGTAGGAGTGGGGAATAGGAAGATTTTCGAGGATACGTACTTCCCGAAGCCTTACCTAAGGCTTGGCAGATACGTACTCCCGAGTCTCCATCCCATCCAATGTACGGAGCACGTACCTAGGTCCAGGTACCTAGGTATCCAAGGTAAGGTAGGTACGGAACACCGTCCGTACTTGACCGTCTCGAGGAGGTCGAGGCAAGAGATGGTTATTCGCAGCTGCCTTGGGTCAATCATAGCTTAGGTACGTATAAGGTACACTAGTGAGGTAGCTCACGCGGCAGCAAGTGCGGTGCGGATACATTCGGCAACCTCACACCCTCCTTGCCTTCCACCTCAGTTCGTCCAAGCCCACCCCCCTCCAACGTCCAGTCTCTCTTGCGGCTTGCCCCAAGCTTCCCGTCAGGTCCCCTACCTCTGGGCTCTGGTGCTTAAGGTGGCCATTTTGGATCACATCAACATCCCTCCTTGCCTCTTACCTCAGGAACCCAGGTGCTCACTGTTCACGGGATATCATCGACGGCTTCTTCCATCAGTCCCTCCCTCCCTCTATCCTCACGCCTAGTAGCAGTCAGACAAAGAGAGAGACACACAGGGACCTCTACAGTCTTCGCCTGCCGCCTGAAGATTGCGACTCTGGCGTCGAAGCCACGGCCGAGAATCTGTGCAATCTGGACCACCGGTTTCTGCGCCAGACATGTCACCGTCACCATGAACTTGCACACACGCATCCTCTCGACTTCACAGATACCTACCTGATCCCTGGTCCGCTGTCCTCCGTTTGCTTGTTGGCCACGTTCGAAATCCTCCGTTCATGCACCAATCTGTCAGCACTTTTTTTTTTTCGTCCTCCCCTCCACGGCTTTCCTAAAGAAACCTCACTATCGGAACCTGCGTGTCTGAATCAGGCCAGGCACACCAAAAGTACGCTCTCTCTACTCCGTACACACTGCGGTAGACAGCGTAAGCAAACATGGCATCCCTGTTCTGCCCAGCTCCGCCAAATGAAAATCGTTCGTTTTACAGGGCCGTTGTTTGCCTGTCTGCTGTTATTGGCAATGCCATTCAGAGGCACCGACTTGATCGTCGCCATGGGCTTCTTTGTTCGGCATTACCTCAGCCCTGTCGTCTCGAGAACCTACGCTCCTCGATCCAATCCTAACTCAACAGAGCAACGCCAAAGAGCTCTTTGCAGGCCACCTATTCGCACATATTGGGCTCATGCGAACCACGGGAGTCAGCCAGCTCGATTCGGGCTACGCATACTATTGATCACGGCCGCTGAGGGCCTCGTATTGAGCCTCCCACCTCCCGCCTCATTTTAAATGTCCCATCTCAGCATCAGGCTGTGCGGCTTGTACCCACCCTAACACCTTACCTTACAGGCTCTTATCCGCCATACCTACGGACACAATCAACACCCTTGGCGTCCCCGAGCTTTGACAGCTCGCAACAATGCCTTTTTCTCCGTCCGTTTTGAACGTCTCTGTGCTCTCTTCACCCGCCAACCCCAGTATGCTATACCGGCTTGGCACCGCCGTAAAGCCGTACTACCAGCACGCTTCCCGTCGTCCGTAAAGCACCGGGTCAGGTTCGGGAAGAAAACGTCTTTCATTGCGTGCGATTTGATGGCCAGACTGGCATGTCAATCATTCCACGCACTTGCTCTTGTTCCTCATGTGGAGCAGGAATCTCTGACGTTCCACGGTTAACGACAACGTGAAGAAAATAAGACGAGCTCATCATCAACTTTGTGACTGTTGGGCTGCTTGGCTGGGTACGTCTTCATCAGCGCTCGTGAGGATCTGAGACTCGAATTCTCACTTTCGGCAAATGGACCAATAGTTGCGTTTACGGGCGTTGGCCGCTCACGGCTGGACTGACGATGCAAGAACCCTCACGCTACACAGTCTCCACGATAGGTGGGAACGGCGGTCTAGTCGAATGATGGCACCTTAAAAGATGATCCTTTTGCATCACCAAAACCTCCGAGCTACAATGGCAGGGGGGAAAGAAGGCAGAGGCTGTTGTGCTGTGCCTTGTCTTTCGCAACTCAGCATCATAATCGGAACTTCAGGGATGTGCTGCCTCCGGTGGTCCCCGGTGGCCCCCTACTCTCCACCTGGCCCTGCGATCTGTCGGGGTCACGCTGCGATCATGGATCTCAGATTGGCTCTACCACAGAGCCCCATGTGTTTGCTAGCCAGCCCAAGACTCGAGTATCCTGACGTCGTAGCGAAAGGAGTTGCTCAACTCTCCCGGCCCGCAGTCTGGAAATTACGCGACACGGCCCAGCTCGCAGCTGCATCACGATAATACTGGAATCTGACATATCCGTCGTTAAGCTTTCTACCTAGGCAACTGGAGGCGAAAACAAAATTTCTCTCTATTTTTCCTGGTCTCGGCGACACTCCGAGGCAGATTTTGCCAAATCTCCCCCAACTCAGCAGTATCTGGGTGCCAGCACGGTCTCAATTGGCATCGATTCTTCTACGAGTATGCGCACGGAGTACGTGTCGTTCACAGTCATTACGTTTGAAGGAACGAGTGCACGCAAGGGATTCTACAAACCTGGTCGAGACCCATCGGGGAGTAGTCGGCCAACCCACTGCAACCGCCTCCATCACTCTCGAGGACAGGTGACAACAAGCCGAGCTACCACTGCGATAGATAAACTGAGAGAACTCTTTGCCGATGGAGACAGCAACAGGTTGTGGAACAGACGGTTTGAGGTTATGTTGTCGACAGGACGCTAGGCGTAGCAACCGCGCGACTCTGTTGACTCGACTTTTCGAGATCCGACAGGTGTGGAGCTGTGTAAGCTCTAGACCTTTTTTTCGTTGACCATTTTTCGATTCCCTGCACAATAGCAATCTACTGCGGGGGTTGCACAAGAGTCACAGCTTCGGCACTGGACCTGGCCTTATGCAAGCCATGCAGAGACATTGAGAGTGGTTTCCGACGCAGTTGTGACGCTGGTACTCCGTAACCACCGCGAAAGGCTTGGGCACAATCCACACCCGTTGACGGCACCGCGGCAAAAGCAAGCACGACGAAACCATGGCATTCAGGAACAGGCTCACTTTGCCATATCCTCTTTCCTGACAACTCGAGTCCAGTTAGACTCAAGACTCCAGAGTCCAGTTTCCCTTTGCCGCGGTTTCTTGGAGGCTCATCAGCCACTTGACCACTGAACCAAGTGGATCAACGTCGAAAAGAACTTCTTCAATGCGGGAAGCGTCTGAATGTGCAACCCCTTGAAGGATCACGTTTCTGCCAGTCAGAATCGCAGTCGGTACGCTCTCGGTATTTCCTCATCGGGTCATTCTCAAACATGGACAAAGCTATTGAGCTGGTCCATTAATCTGTCCACAGACGAACCCTTCCGCGAGACTATGCTGGTTCTCCTATCCAGACATTGTAGCACCCGCGTGTCATGGCTCGCATGCAGTTCGTCACATATCACATTTGCCATGACCAATCGAGTCTGGAGAGACTTCCGCGGGCTTGGCACACACACACTGCTGTTGATGCAATACGACTTGGGACTTCACCTGCGACCTTCATTCTCCTGGACACTACGGACGTACTGCAGCGTGTAATCGGCTATCTGCACGTCCGCATTACGGCAGCGCAAAAGTGACCCATGATTTGGTCCACTCAGTTGGCTGCCAATTACGTCTTACCGAGAAATTAATCACTTGTGGACCTCCCGCTCAGCACGAAGATCAGAATCGGGTGGCTTAATTGTTGCTTGACATAATCGACAACTGGCAAACGCCAATAGTCCAAGTAGGTGACAACGTCGCCATAGCCGATTTGTGGCTGGGATGCACCGATTTCGCGCCACTCATTGGCGCGCACTATTTCAAATGATCAGCTACCCTGTCGTTGGCGCTGCCCTCCTGTCGTCTTCTTGGCCTATGACGAAAAGCGGTACGCATAGTTGCGCAGCTAACGAGGTATTTCACGCAAGGCTCGACAGGCAATTATCAGGCAGTGAATGCAACAGTTGACAACTGACTTATTTGTAGGATGTTGCTACGGCGGTGGGTTCAAGCTAGCTAACCACAGAAACATCACCGTCTCTAAAGAGTCCAGACCCCGCCGAGCGCCAGGGTTGTAGCGGATTACTGAACAACTTTGCATGGCGAAGGAAGACACTATGGAAAGATGAGCTCAAGAGGTACTACGCACCTCTAGAACTGGTCAATTGCACAACATCGGGTGGACTATGAACCGTGCCTGGTTGTCGTCGTTGCCGAGTCTTAGGCGTCAATATCGATTGTATAACAAAGTTAGGCATCCAGCTGATAGCAACGCTCACGATTCACCTGGCGCCTAGCCCCTGGTAATGCAGTTTCGTCAAGGGATCCATCTACTTCATCTAATAGGGACCTCCCGAACACGCCTGTCATATGAAGCTGACGTCCTGGATGCCGTTACTCAATTCGGGCTCAGGGCTTGAACCCAACAGATGGGTTCGTAACCCCAAGCAAGTTGCAGAATGCATCACAGTCCATACCGTCGGGTACGGAGGCACCGGGCACGGTACCACAGCAGGGTAGGGCAGCAAGTTCAGCAGCCAGCAACCAGCATCGCGACAAGCTGAGGTGACCCAGGCAGTACGCCAACCGGAACTGGGTTAGCGAGGCTGCAGGCGTGGGCTCCCGCGATCCGTGCACAGGTCCCAGAACTGTGGTTGAAGGGCGATCCCCCGGCTTGAACCATCCTCTGTGTGCCCGACATGCTGGCCGGCATCAGGAACAGTTTCCGGAAGGGAGAATGGCAATGTGATAGTAAGCAAGGGGTTAGCGGCGGAAACGAGTCGAAGAATAGAGGTTGAAGAAAATGACAGATCAGATGTGCCTTTTTGAGCCAGTCCCGATCCCAAGCGGATGACGAGTTTC